GGCAAAAATGAAAACTATAAAGATATATGGAAATTGATAAAGCCTAACGGCCATAGGACATCATCTTGGTCTCGCTCCATCAACTGTAAATACAACTGTAAACGATGCTGATGGTGCAAACGAACATGTAAAGGAATGGTAGCTATAAACTCAATAATAACAGTAATAATAATAATAAAAGCGCTTCGATGACAATTACAAAATACAAAAATTGAGTGACTGGAATACAGAATCCAAAAGCCCCTTTCGCTAAGCTTCATAATCATTTTCGAGAAAGGTAATAATTCTTTTCGATTACAAAATTCAAATATACGTAAAGCTGTCAATCCTTCGTAGCAAACAATGGTTGGTTTGCTAGATCCAAAAGCCACATTGGTTGGATAAAGACAAAATTTTTGAGGACTTTGTGAATAACTAAAACTGGAAGTTGATGAAAATTAAATCGAAAAAAACAGCTGACTGGAATGGAAATAAATTATGAACTGAAGGCAGCCAAAATTGCTGAGAATAATGGGTTGGAAACGCTTCGTGTCGAAACAGATTACGATTAAATTCCTTCAGATATCATCAGGAATGATAGCCAAAATATATATTTTGTAAAGATAGATTCTAATACCTGATGATTCTTAAACGTTCAAGTTATCGTTCAGTCATCTCTTTATATTTTCACAAGGAAGGTCGAATTATTTATTTTATTGTATCATTAATACCGTTATACCACTCTGCATTAGTAATTATAGATTTAGATTTAATTTGCCAACACATTCGGTGAAGGAAACAAATCCTTTAAAACATGTTAATGAATTATTGTATTCACGCAAGTAACGTCTTATTAGCGGGAGGGATGTACAAAATGAGGTTTGAGGGACGTAAGTCTCACGTAAGGCGAGGACCGCATGTTTGTACTCCTCAAATTTTAGAATTCGATCTGTATGGATGAAACAAATTTCTAAAGATGGAAATTATAACAGTAACGTCAATCATTCAGAAACCTCAGTAAGTTTGTTGTAAAGCGACGCCCCAACGATTGCAAACTGCTGCAAAGGTACACAGCTCCATGAAAATTTACTATCTTAAGCGATTGGTTAATGATGAACACAACAAGGTATACGATACCACACAACTACATTCGCTGCTTGTTTACCTCAACAGAAGGCCTTCGGTGAGGAACAGGCCTTTAGTGGAGGCGGTTTTTGTCCGTTCGAATCGGATCTGATAGGCGACCGACGATCCATAGACGTTCAGCGTTTCATAGGCGACTCGTTTGCACAATGAGATGCAGGCAATACGCCGAGGTTGGGTACATGCGATACGGTCGAAGCCGGCACCCAACAGGTACTGGATGGTCTGTGTGGACTTTCCACAACCAGTGTCACCGGCGATGATCACTACCTGCTCGGAACGGACCAGTCGAACGATGTCCCCCTTGAATAAGTAGATCGGCAGGTTGCGTTGTGCCCGCTGTATAGCCTTCAGCTTGCCGAGAGACTTGCGTTGCCGGAACTCGACGTAGCAGTTGAGTACGTACTCGAATTCCGCCACCACGTTCGTCGGCAAACTTCGTGCCGCGTACCGCTCGGTCTTATCCAACACTGGCACATACAATTGTCGGTAGTACCGGGAGTACCGTGATGACGTCAGCGCACCCCCGAACGATGGTCGGCCAGATGCCACTGGCTCGCTACGTATCGACTTCCGTCTGGCGACGTCCAAGTACTTGTCAAAGAACTTCCAGAAATCCTGGAAGTCATCGGTTTCCAACGGAATCAATGAGCGGTCCGAAAAATATATCCTCTTCAACGCGGAACGATAGTCAAGCCACTTGATATCCATTGCAATCAGACAATGAACAACAAATGTATCAAATGATTCACATCTCGCCATGTGAAGCCATTGGTTTTAAAAGGTCAACATGACCGACTCCTAAATCAAAAGTAAAGAGTACATAAAATAAAGAAATTGGCAAAATTAAACAGAACATAGAAGCGCCGTTAAATATGACAAAAGTGAACCGTTAACTAAAGTCGTTCAATAAATAATTGATATTATGCTCTGAGCACTGTCAACATTATGTCAGATATTAGATTTTCGAAATCCAGACCTCATTAATCTGGAAAAGCCAATGGAGCTGTTAAGCTATTCCACTTTAAATAACGATGAGAAACAGCAACATTGCTTTTTATACGCGGAGCACCGTGCCAAGATTCATCATTTCGGATCACACGGTATTTTCGTGGCTGAGCTACCATCCCGTTTCGAAACATTTCGCTAATTACAAAGAATTTCTAGATTCTCATAATGTTCAACGGGATTTACGCCGAAATATAAATTTTATGAGAATAAATCGAGCCATTAAACGGACATTATATGACAACAAGTACGAGAAGAAACGTCAGTGGTGCCGTTACCTTCTGTACCAGATTATTCTATTCGCATAATGCATTCAAATAATCTGTTTAGAAGTCTCCTCATAATTAATTATAACTGGATTGGATATATTGAGTGAATTATGACAGAGACAATAAAACTTCATTCGAAAAGATACACAATACGCAAAACCATCTCCCATATAACACTCGACATCAAGCTTTTGAAAACGAAAATCACAGATATTGTTACTAGTTACAATACTTTCATGAAGATCTTAGAATCCCATCTACGTCCGCTACATAGAGTAATTTTATGTATTACGTTTCAACACCAGATTAATTAGTTAACGATTTAAAGAACATAAGTATTTCTTTTATTAAATACCACTTCAAGAAAATAACAGTACAAGTGCAAGCTAATTCGCTTTCGCTAAATAGCAGTTCGGAAAGATGCCGCACATATACAGTAACAAATGGATCCGCATTCTCACATCTCAGTAAAATTTCCATTCAGCGACTCTGAAGCTCGAAAGGTTTATGTGTAACGCATCATGGCATTGTTCAGGTCACAAAAAAGATGTATACAGCCTGAATAAAGTTTTAAACCAGCCCCTTTTCACAGCAAAACTTAAGTAAATTGCACAAATCTAATAAAATAAATTACTGAAAAAGTGAAAGACTGATATTATAAACGATAAGAAATAATGACAGGCGGCAATTAATTAATTTAAAATAAATGATATTGTTCGTTGCTAGTGCCAAGAACAAATTATCTAGTGTTAGCGTTACTGCAAGTTTGTAAGCTATCAAAAACCACCTTGTTAAATTATGCCGAAGCTCTAAAGTACGCACATTTAATGACAGCTATTGTGGCAAAACGGTCCGCGAAGCTATGCCAACGAAGTACAGGATTTGAAACAGTAAGAAGATAGTCTCATTCTTTTCTTTTTGGAGTCAGATTTTGTCTAATCAATTTTCCACTTCGCAGGTACAGCGCTGAATTCCTGTTTTGTTTGATACCTGACTACAGAAATAAAAGTTTAGGCGACATCTGATATCACTGGGTTCAACATGTACAGCTGTTTCTACTTTCGGTGCTTCTGCATTCACATATCTGTAGGCATATATCTTGGCACCGTAATGCTAATGCCAAGTCCGGTTTAGAAGGGAAGAATGGTAAGAATCGTGACGAAATCTGCAGTCAAACATCGCCAACCCTTCTCATCGTATTGTTGCTATCAAACGTCGTGCATCCTTCATCGTCTCTTAATTATCAAGCGTCGAGCTGCAAATTTCGAACTGAAGCAGACTGCAAAGTTCTGCCAGAAGAAATTGTCTAATTCTTTTCTGTGGCCGGCGGTGTAGCTGAACGACAGCAGGCGACAAAATCGCTTATCTGTGAAAGACTCAGCTCTTCCTGAAGAGTATGGAGATTAGCGCAATTTGGCCGCAATGCAAATAAACCTGTTAAAATTGATGACCAATGGTCTAGCAATTTCTCGATATCCTGTCCGATGCGCTCTACTCTGATAAATGAAGCACGACGTTTAGAAGTTTACCTACCTCGGGCCATACTTACTGGTGATTAAAAATGTGAAATCGACCGGTGAATTAAACAGTTAACCTCGTTTTCAGTTTCTACACCGAAATATTGCAAGAGGCGGAGCTGAGTCTGACTACGAAGCTGCATATGTTCAAGTCATCGACAGCTCAACAGCATTTCTACAGTTTCGAACAGCTGTGCCCTTAACCTATAGATCCTATCTAAAGTACTGTAATTGCGCAACGTCAGATTTTTTAACTGCGTTCAAAAATAATTGGCTCTTACCGGAGTACAGACATGTAGTATTGAATGTTTTAGTTAATATGATGCGCAGTTATGGAATACTGAGATAATACCTTTTGGTTTTTTGGGTGTGCGCTGCAACTGTCGCAAATCCGCAGCGATAAATAGCTAGTAAATGTTAAGGAATTACCCAATGTATTTAATCATTTACATTCATTTCAGCGCAAAGCATAATGAAATTTTATGCAACGAAGAACGATGATTTGATTCATATGACTTGCTTTTGAATTGATTGTGATTAAGATTACCTGTTTAAGGTTATGAATTGTAAAATTATAAATTACCTCAGGGTCGTGTTTACTGATGATGCAAAATTCCAGGAAGAGACAGACTGGTGGATTGGAGTAGCCAGTGGCTTTCTACGTGAACTAGCCCAAACTACTGTGACTAAAGCAGAGCTGAGTTTGAAAACAAAACTCGTGGTATTCAAGTCGATCTTTATCCCATGTTTACTTACTGTGATGAGTCGAAGACTCATTGAAAGGCTAAGAATGATCTGGGCAAGTGGGAATGCGAAATTTGCTCCAGATTCAGTATATCTTCTACCGAAGTTCGAGCCTTAGTGCACCATCGTGAACGTTGAAGGCACCGTGTGACACTGCTGCCTTATTGATTCGACAAGAAAAATGGCGGTAGAAACTGACTGACTAAGAATTCTTTCAAATGCCTATTTGACCCCGGACTCATTAAAAGACTGGGTCCTAAACGTCTGCCCCAGCTGGCTAATCTGCTTTCAGATGATGGCCGTTTCTTTTCCGGTTTTCATAAAAATGATTCCAGGTGCATGACTTGATGATGTGACATAAATGGCTGGTTAGAATATGTGATATATCTTCGGTTAGTAGTGCGCCGTCACACTTTAGCCAAATCGACTTACTGACGAAATGGTCTGGTAAACACAGTCGTGGTTGAGGTTCGAGGCCGTCACACTATGTACGTTGATCTAAGAGAAATCCTTTGTTCATGCTTTGGCTTTG